ATCTAATTTTAATTTTACAGTGTTAGAACCTAACAGGAAAAAGAGGTTTTTGTTCAGAATCTTGTATTACACATTTCTGTCACTTTATGAAACTTAACTTCTCCAGTACACAATAAAACTCTTGATAAACAAAGAAACCAGTTTTCTTTATATTATACTTATTTGACTACATAATTCTCAATTAGATTTATGAACTTTTAGAACAGCTTGCCTCATGATGTAACTCATGTTCTTTATTAAGTCTCTTTTAAACATTTTTGAATAAGTATATGCATTTCAAGATCACATTTAGTTTGGATTTTATGCTCTGATTGGTGACCTCAATGGGTCACATGGTCTTCTGTCATCTTACTCTCTCTTGTAATATACATGTAGGAGTATTATAAATATATATTTTCTTAAATATATTTATGTACAATATTTTTAATCCAAACTTCTCAAAAACACATACTAATATACAAAAATAATCAGTCTTTCTTTTCACAGAAAAACTCTGAAAGAGGTACTTAAAAATTTAAAAGATCTGGGAAAAAAATTAACAGTATATAATTAATAATACCTTGTTACAGATTTTTGTTGAATAGAACCAACTCCTAGTTACATGATAATCAGTCATACAATTTATTATAAATCTGTTCATGTCACAGCTATTTTTATTTTTCTTGCTACTAGAAATTTAAAGTAAAACCACAAAATATACATAATTAAACAGCCTACCAACATATATAGTAAACACATCATTTTATGCTTTTCCTACATTAATATTGCAAACTAACAGTAATATAAGTTTCATGAAAATAAGTAACTCTATATGGTACTTCTACCTTATTACATATTTCTTCTTATTTTTCCTTTGTATAACAAACATCTACAGTATAGCCCATGTGTATTCAAATGCATGCCAACTATAGGCATAGCCAATTTTTCTTCACAACATAAAGCAACACTTGCTTATAAACCTTTTAACTGTACATTTCACCTTATGAAACCATTTTAAAAATTAAGATTTATCCTTAAAATGAAAATTTAAATACCGAGTTAATAACCAATGACTGGATATCTTTAGCTTAGTGGCAGCATTTTTGCAACTAGAAAAACCAATCATATGCACCAATTTTAAACTGCATTGTAGAATAAACATTCCAAAACCAATGCTACACGAGGGTTTTCTTTGCTAGCTGTTCCTAATTTAACAGTGAAAGACTAGAGGGAAGGCAGCTCGTCATCACTACCCACCGCCAACTCTTGAGCTACTCTTTTACCAACGAATAGTGGGATTGACTGTCACATTATAACGCCCTCACGGCTGAGAGGGCGAGCATGTTTGGTGGGACGGGTATTCGAACCCGCGACCCTCAGACTGCGAGTCAAGCACCCTAATCACCGGGCCCTTACGGCGAAAGAGATGAAGTTTAACTTTCAAATAATTATATCATTTAACTACTAAAACAACAAATTACCGTCACAGAAAAATCAACAACTTACTGAAAGGCTAGGTTTCACTCGGATTCTAACGATAAAGAAATCAATATCGTTATTGTTAATTTACTCATCTTCCCGTTTCTAGGTATGTGTTTCTCATGTAAACAAACAAACTGCCCTCTAGTGATATACTCTATATTCCAGCAGTTCTCTACATTTACGAAAAATACCAAGGGAAAGTTGGTAATTCGCAATTTAATTTTACCAGTGAAAAGTGGAGAATAAAAATATGTCAGTTATATTGTCATTCTCTATATGAAAATTGGGTTGCGCCATGCATTAAAAACATGTGATTTTTCTATTTCTGATAGCTATCCTAGTAATTAAGAAACAGGATTGTAATATTTTGAAATTAAAGCATTTGTAAAATGCACTGTAGACGGTGATTATCATCTTTGTATCATATTAGATGCTTTACATTGCAGTACATCCTGTGTATCAACAAAATCTCCTTTGAATCGTTTGTTTGTTTTCATAATTTTTATGATGTATTTTATGATTGACAAACATGTTGATATGTATAAATGGAAGAAATTTTTACTTGTCGAAAAGAAACAGCAGATGGAAAATACTTTAACTTTATTTTACATTATGTTGCTTTTGCTTATTTTTCACACACCCCAGTGGCACAGCGGCATGTCTGCGGAATTATACTGCTAGAAACCGGGTTTCGATACCCGTGGTAGGCAGAGCACAGATAGCCCTTTGTGTAGCTTTGTGCTTAATAATAAACAACAAAAATAACAAACTTATTTTTCACAAGTGAACTTTTTCACTTATATTGTACAAGCTATGCGAATCTTTTTAGTCTCTTTTTTCTTCACCATACTGATATGTATGCCTATCTATAATCTTTAATAAAAATATCTAATCTAATATCGATTAATGTTTGCTTGTTATTAAGCACAAAGCTACACAAATGGATTATCTGTACTATCTCTGCCCACCGTAAGTATCAAAATCCGATTTTTATCGTTATAAGCCATCAGACCTGCCGCTGAGCCATAAGAGAGCATATGA